TGATCTCCAATCTCGATCTTTACATCTTTAACTACTTGGTTAGTCATGATATTATTCCCAGCAGCACTAATACAATAACCACCCTTGACAATTGTAATCACATTCATCTTATGCTTAGATGCAAAAGTAGAACTTACAAAGGAATGTCAAGCACCCGAATCAAAGAGCACAACTGCAGGGTGATTATTAACAAGAAACTTACCAGCGGTGATCACTTCACCAGCAGGAATTTCCTCCACAGTAGTGTAGTGAACACACCCCTAACGGACGTTTCCTTGAGCATTCTGCTTGGAAGGATAGGGACACTTATTAGCCCAGTGATCAGGCTGGTTATAGTTCCAACACGGCCTGTTAGCTGGTGGGACATTGGAGCTGCCCTGCCCAGAGGTATTCTTTGGCAAGAAAATTGTATACCCCTTGCGGAAACCGGTTTTAGCTTGATTCTTCTTCTGAGGTGGGCGGTACCAAACAATAGCATTGGGTGGATGGTACTAGGTCTTGGCTACCACTAGTGCCTTAGACTGAGAAGCACCTGCCTCAAAGTTTCTTTTACGGGTCTTGGAAGCAGCATATACTTTATCATTATTCTCTTGAGTCAGGGTGTCACTGATAAACTCATTGAAGGTGACACACTTGTAGTTGCCTATAGACTTCATCAGTTTAGGGGAAAGTCCCCTCTTGAAGCTAGCTATTCTCTTGGCGTCAGTATCGATGAACTCGGGAGCATACCTCGCTAGGTTGTTGAATGCCTGGAGGTATTCATTAAGACTCTTGTTGCCTTGGGTTAGCTTCATAAACTCGGTATGCTTAATGGCCATGAGACCAGGAGGGATAAAATGTCCCCTAAAAGCTGCCTGAAACTGGCCCCAAACTATCTCGACGTTTGCAGGGAAGGTGGTCCTGTGATGGGTCCACCAGATGCCTACAGGGCCTTGGAGCTGGTATCCTGCATACGAAGCCTTCATGCCTTCAGTCAAACGGAGCAATCTAGACCTTTGCTCTATCGTGCTCAACCATTCATCAGCTTGTAATGGCTCTTCTGCCTCACGAAAGATAGGAGGCTTTGTATCCATGAAGTCCTTAAAGCTGTTGTACTGGTTTGGTTCGGGTCCCTAGCGAACATGTCGATCCTCGCGGTTAGCCATCTGGCGCATAGCCTCAGCTAGCATGCGCTGACTTTCGACAACTGTCTGCATTAGCTTAGCTAGTGTGGGCGGTGGAGGATGTGGTTGTTCCTCATCTCCCATGCTACGACCGCGACGAAGGTTATAAGCCATCTGCAAAATGTATAGCCAATGAGCACTGACGATGTGGAAATTTTTTATAGATGAATCGTATAATTATGCCAAACTGAGTCCATTGGAGGGAATGCATTTATATAATCAACAGAGGCACAATCATTCATCACAATCACACAACTCATCAAGCGCATCAATTGACACATAAATGCGATGAACTTAACCAACAACGAGATCCATAAACCGCAAGGACAAATTTTAACAAAAGCTCACATACGTGGAGCATAACAAGTTTGATAGGTTACATCCAAGCCATAGTGGTTCCAAACTTACATCCAAAGATTAACTTGATACAAAGCTACTCGTTCATGCATGAGGATCAACAAAAGATTAGCTCTAGCGCATTAGCTAAGTAGTAAGCTAAACTACGCATCATCCTCGGAGTCAGTGTCGAAGATCTCTCCTCCATCTTCATCACTAGCAGGCTCTAACTCCTCACCTTCCTCCTCATCAGGTGGAACGTCCTCAGGTCCATTGACCTCCATGTCATCATCACCTTCAGCCATGATGACACCAGAGCCCATCTCATCCTCATCAGGCGGCAGGAGAGGGTGAAGTTGATTGTGTAACAGGTGAACCTCCTCATGGACATGGTCATTGTACTCTTCGGCAACTGCCACTTGCTGCTCTAGCTCCACCTGTCGCGCTCTCAACACATTCTCTTCGTGCCAGGCTTCATTCCGTTAGTTCATCACGTGAATCAACATACGTTCACAGATGCTGTGCACGGAGAAGGCGAGAGGGAAGCGAATGGAGCGGCGAGTGCGTTCGGGCAGGCACTGGCCCTCTTCTAGAGCGCGGACGCGCGACGTGGTGGCTTCGGCCGAGCATGAATGCCACGAGGCGAGCGTCTCCTGCGCCGGTCGGCACCGAGTTCACTGAACGTTTTCTGAAACTCTGCGATTCAGTGATCCAACGACCGACTGACAGAGCAAGTTTGGCGGTGATTAGCGCCTGATCCGTGATGATTTAGATCATGTCAGAGTTAACAAAGTTGATCATCTATATGTGAACTACAACTCTTACCATTGGAGCTCGAGCTGGTTTGGCTTTGTTAGGGAGATACAAGGTGAAAAAGTTGGGTACATGAAACTGCAAAACACTTAAGGACTTAGAAAAATTTCTAAGTCTGAAATCAGCATGAACTTCTGACTTGTGGGCCATGTTTGAGCATGTTCTAGCCATTTTCATGAGTTGGTCATAAAACAACTTTTGTTCCTCGATAAATTAGCTACAACTTTGGTAAAGAGTGCACAGCCATGCAAGGTCTCTAAGTCGGTCTTTTGAATCAGTCAGATAGTCCCACTCTAGGGGTCAATTCAAGTCAAACCTTTCCTAAAGGGCCATTTTGTCACTTTGATCTACATGAACAATATCCAAACAATCTCCCTAAGTGTAGTTAAGATATATTAGACCCTGACCAACCACTTTACACCATTGTTATACCAACTTCTAATGATCACATGTGATAAAGCAACTAAAACAAGCAATTCACACATATGTTGCAATGCAATGTTTCACATGTTGCATGACTTTGTTGTTATTCTATACTTGTCACATTACTACCATGTTGCCATGTTTCAAGGTATAAGAAACTCAGGTTGCATTCACATGTTACACCATTACTATTCACAACACTCAAGTAGGAAACATACACAATTAGAAAATGTTGCATATGCATGTTTCAGTAACAAAGGCATGATGAGATAGATGATGCACATGTTTATGAAATGAAATACAATTAGTGGAAGCCAAACACCTAGGGTGTTACACTTAGAAGAAATTCTTAATGGAGCCAAAACAGTAGGCTGTGAAAGGGTCTACAAGACAAAATGTGACTCCAAAGGGAATGTGGAAAGATATAAAGCATAACTTGTAGCAAAAGGCTTTACGCAAAGAGAATGAATAGATTACGATCAAAGTTTTTCTCTCCAGTCTCATGTAAGAATTCTTTTAGAATCATAATGTTGTTATTGGCACATTACGATTTAGAGTTACATCAGATGGATGTAAAGACGGTATTCCGCAACTTGGATTTGTATGAAAACGTTTACCTGGCACAACCCAAAGGTTTTGTCGTGGAAGAAAAAGAACGTATGGGATGTCGCCTGTAAAAATCCATTTATATGTTAAAATAAGTCTCTAGACAGTAATATTTGAAGTTGATGAAACGATAAGAAAGTTTGGGTTTAAAGAAAGTGAGAAGGATAATAGCGTTTATGCGAAGTTCAAGAATGAAAAATTCTTTTTCCACATCCTGTGTATAGATGACTTCCTACTCACTAGTAGTAATGTTAATCTGCCATTGGAGAAGAAGAAGTCGTTGTCCTCAAGTTTTAATGTGAATTATCTTGGTGAAGCGTCATTGGTTCTAGGAATTGAAATTCACCGAGATAGATAAAAGGGGTATTAGGACTATCGCAAAGGCATACTTAGAAAAGATTCTAAAGAAATAAAGTATGCATGCGAGTAAACCTATGCCTGCTCCTATAGTCAAAGGTAATAGATTTGGGAACTTTCAGTGTTCTAGGAACCGATATGAGATCGATCAAATGAACATGGTTCCATATGCTTCAGCTATTGGAAGCTTAATGAATGTACAAGTAAGAACTTACCCTGACGTAGCTTACGTATCCGGGATATTTTGGCAGAAGTTTAGTCTAGATATAGATCACTGGAATAGAGTTAAGAATGTTTTGCAATTTTTGCAAAGTATCATAGGCCTCATGCTGAGTAAGAAAGAACAAGTACTCTCAAATAGTTGTGGGTACAAATGTTAAGTTTTGGCGAGATGTTCGCAGTTGGAGTATTATTGTAGAAAAGCTTCAATGAAACAGGTGTGGTGTCATTAATGATGCATAACATAGTATAGCTTGTCATGAGGCCTCAGGAACAGGCAAAAGTGGTTAAGGTAATATGTACCCAGATTTAACAATGGTAGTCAACAACAATAACCATTTAAAGTAGTTAACTCTTAAGACAACAATTCAAGTGTTCTACCAAACATATTGACATTAAGTTATATGTTGTAAAGGAGAAAATCCAGAATCATTTTGAAAGCATTGAGCATGTAAGTACCAAGCAAGTACTTGTGAATTCGCTTACCAAAGGCAAACCACCCAGTGCGTTCAGAGAACACACAGTCGACATGGGTTTATGGAAAAGCCTATGATTTCTGGATACTAAGGGCCTAGTTGAGAATCTGTTTCAAAACAGAGAGGTGCATTGTAGCTGTTTAATCTAATGGTAACTGACCGTGACGATGAGGCACGCTCTATGCACTAATCTACGATGGAATGGAAAAAAGATAAAGTAAATTAAGTTTAAGTCATAAGGTGAGATCAAGGGGGAGAATGTTTGATTGATCTCCATCAGTTGGCCCAATGGCCAATTGGGCCCTTGATCCACGCCTTGATCGGGGGTGCCCAGCCGTTCTCCTGGCTGGTGGCCCCCCGTCGTGCAGCGCTATAAAGAGAAAGGTGGGGACCGGGGCACAAGGTACGAGGTTCACCGCAGCCGCCAGCGCCCCACCAAGGTTTCAAACCCTAGTCCGATCTAGAGGGCGCGCTGTGAGCAACGGGAAGTTCCACTGCCTTCACCGCCGCCACTGAACCACGCCTGCACTACTGTCACCTTCGACACCCTAGCGGGCGCGTTAAGCTACCTCTACTCCAACACTCGAGGCCACGTTGTTGTGGCGCCATGGCCGCGACGCTGCTTGGTGAGGTACATCAGCAAGTTCCTTTGTCTAAGTTGAATTTTACCCACTGATCTACGCCTAGATGATCCAAAAATTCTATCACGGCTCACCTACTACCACCAGCTGACCAAGGTGGTGGCGGACTACGTCTACGACCGGTGGATCCGGCTCAACGTCATCCACGACGTCGTGGCCGCGAACATCACCATGTTCATCGACGGCAAGAGGAGGCTGGCTGCCCCCGACCAAGGCAGGAAGGAGCACTACTTCAAGTTTGGCGTGTACAAGCAGCACGACCCGTCGCACCGCATGGAGTCGCACTGGAGGAACGTCGCCATCTACACCAAACCATGTACACATTAGATGTCATCTATCTAATTCTTTGATCTGGTTATGTGCGTGACATTGACACACGATCGATGGAAACATGGATCTGACGTGTGAACTGTGATGATGATGGAGGACTTCTCACAATGAATTGTTGAATAAATCTCGAGATTCTGCTTTGGTTTGGACAAATCTTAGGCACGAGTGTCAATTTCCATAAGGGCTCGTATAGATCCTTTCATTTTGGGGAGATAGGAATCTACTTAGGGTGTGTCTGATTTGCGTTTTAGACCTAGCCTAGCTAGTCAACTAAGCCAGAGCAACACAAGTCTTGCTCTCCCAATACAAGGGACTGTCGTTTGATTTACATATCTTAGCTAGGCCTGGTTTAGCCAGATCATGTTTGGTTGTCTGGTTAGCTCGAATATAGTCAAATCATCCCCATTCAGGTGAGGTTACCTCATTGACCTCTAAAAAAGGGCATTTTGTCGAACATGTCATGGGCACCCCTGTTGTCTGGATGTAGTGAGCACCTTCGTTGTCCTCCTCCTCCTCGCCAATAGCAATGAGGTTGGCTAGGAGGCATAGGTTGACGAGCTGGCTCGTGTTGCTCAGACGCACGGGAACGGACCGCGAGGCTAAGGGTCAAATTTATAACTAAAATATACAAAGTTATCATTGAGTAGTACCACATATTGTAACTGTGACTTTTATTTTGTTGCAGTTGTATTTTATGACAATGTAACTGCTTCTCTTTAAAAAAGTTAATTCATAACTATAAACCACACTAAATTATAACTAAGTATAACAACAAACTATGGTGATGCGCATGCAGCATCTGGAACATCTCCAAGAGTCATTCTAAATCTCACTCTTTAAATCATCATTTAGAGAACTATTTGCATAAAATCGCTTTCTATATATTTTTACTCTCCAACAGCTTAGAGAGCCATTCTCGTTTTCTATATTTGGGTAGCGAGAAATCCGAAATAGAAAATTCTCTAGGTATATTTGGATAACAAATAAGGAACCTGTTGTAGGGTATTTTTTCATCAAATCTCTATTTCTAGCAATTATAAATGATATGAAGGGCATGTCCAGTACAACTCAGCTTCACCGGTGAATCAGCTTTTTTTAGCTTTGGGTTGAAAAGCAGCTCTACCCATGAAGTTGAATCTGTTTTTGTAAATCGTTTGGCACAACAGCTTCTTCTGGTGGACATGAAATAACTACAATACCCTTCTTTTTTTTCTTCTTTTTTCTTCTCTCTCAAGCCAACCTTATCTGGTCACACACTCTTCTCTTTCGTCTCCCCATCTCGTCCATCTTCCATGCACCGTCGCCGCCCATGCGCTACCCATCGCGGCGCGCCTATGCCCGCCACCATGCGCGCTTGCGGCCACACCCTACGCACCATAAGCCTTCTCCTGCGCGCCCCACCGGCCGCTGCCTGTGGGCCCTGCCCACCATTGCATACATGCAACCACTGTTGCGTGCCCCACCTGCCGTCACCTGTGCGCACCAGCAGCCCCACCACGCGCCACGCTGCACATCCCTCTCCTCCGATGTCGCCATCGCTAGGGTCTGGATTCCCCACTTCTTGAGCAGCAAGTTCTTTGTTTGGACTTCCCGCTCAGCAGCTCGGGGCTTGTCCACGAGCGTCACACTTCTTCGGGGGATGAGTTTGGTGTCAGTCGCCGACATCCGTCACGGTGCAGTGGAGTTGACATCCGTCACGGTGGAGTGGAGTTGATTAGCGCATCATCAACCGTCGCTGTGATGGAGGATAGGAAGTCGTTGTGATGAAGGTAAAAAGTAATAAAGATAATTTGATTTTGATTGATTGTGTGTTGGATACCTCAATCGACCATGTACCTCTTATTTTAAAAGGAGTAGGGGTGGTTTTATCCCGTTTAAAAACCAATGTGATACTATTTTAAAGTTGCTTTATAGAGTTTTCCATATATTGGACCAAAATTAGCTTTGGTAAGACAGGTATGGGCCCAATTTTAGTTGTCAACAGCACGGACTCCGGTCCTACCGTCACATTTGGCCCTGGTTGCCGGACTCCGATCCTACCGTCACATTTGGCCCTCGTCGTCTGGGGCTGTGTAGTGTGGCTAGGAACGCACGCAGTGACACAATGTCGCGCGGATTCAGGGATCATCCACCGCATCCAGCGGCATACCAACTCCGACGGCCGGCGGAACCTCCGGTTAACAACTGCTCGCCGGGCCGGCAACTTTTGTCACTTGCAACCACCCTTGCCATCGAAAACAGATGTAGCGTGCGTGTCGACAGGAGAGATGGACATCTCGTGATCTATATATACATATACACAATTCAGCATAGCCAGAGCGTCATCAGAGCCACTGAAACAAAGGGTGTGTTTGTGTGCGTGCGTGAGAGAGAAGCGAAGGTTCAGTGCGGCAGTTTTCATGGCTCGTGGCGTGGGCGCTCCACTGCTGTTCTTGGCCTCGCCAACATTGCTCATGTTGCAAGTACTGCTACTGCTATCTACGTCGTGCGCCCTGTTGCGCTCGGCTCACGCCGACGACCTGCTGACCGAGGGCTTCACTGCCGTGGAGCTGCCGGAGGCGCTCTTCAAGGTGCAGAAGCCCTACGACGTGCCGCTGCCCGAGCGCTACGAGTTCGTCGACGGCGTGCGGCGGATGTGGGTCTACGCCACCGACCATCCCATCACCACCGCCCACCCCGGCGGCCCCCGCACAGAGATCAAGATCGAGGTAACCGTAACAGTAACGCTAGCCCAAGAACGGTAGACCAAGATTCGAGTGCGTGTGACATACGCAGTACTAATAACATTTTCGTTCTCGGTTCTTCTCGGATCATGGCCATCGCCGTCGTCGGTCGCGCACCGCAGCTGAACTACAGCTCCGGCGTGTGGCAGTTTGAGGGATACGGCTACATCCCGCACGGTACAACTGGCGCGTCGGTGATGCAAATCTTCGGCGCGGCGGAGCACGCGACGACGCTGATGCTGCATGTCTATGACGGCCGGCTCACCTACTACCACGACGATTCGAGGGTCGTCGACGCCGGCATCTACGACAGGTGGTTCAAGCTTAACGTGATCCACGACGTCACGGCGTCCAACGTGACGGTGTTCGTGGACGACCAGCACCGACTAACGGTACCCGGCCGCGGCGGGGACTCGCACTACTTCAAGTTCGGCGTGTACGGGCAGCGCAATAACGGCATGTCGTGCCGCATGGAGTCGCTGTGGAGGGACGTCAAGGTCTTCACCAGGGACGTCAAGGTCTTCACCAGTGGCGTAGCTAGAGCAAATGGGTGGGGGGTGTACAACTTCATCATGATTATAGTGATCCAAATGATGTTCAAACAAATAGCATAACTAATTTGCAATTTTTAACATCAAAATTCAACTTTCAGTAATGATAAAGTTGATTTTGGTCAAAACATAAGCAAACTGGTAGGGGCAAGGGCAATAACACTCAACATTTGCAACAAAATAATAAAGACGCCATTGATCCATATTTAGCATGTTTCTTCCTTGCTTAGCGTACGCCTCCATCAGCGGCCTCCATTCTATTCTGTTGGATAGTTGTTTCCATAAGTCCACAGATACGGAATAGAGGCAGCTGTATATATGTACGTGTGATCTCAGATTTATTTATCAATAATTGATTACGAGTTCTCTCGTCTATCATGGTATCAAGGTGGTGATGAACCGCGAGGACGGGCCGCCAACGGCTCACATTGTCTGGCTAGGACTGGAGCAACAATTCATGGGCAACATGGAGATTGGTGCGCTCCGCGACACTGAGTTTCGTACCTTTGTCTAGGGAGATCTCTCCATCGACGACTACTGCCGTCAACTCAAGGCGATGGCCAGCCAACTTGCCGATCTTGGCGAGCCCGTTTGGGACCACACCCTTGTCCTCAACGTCCTTTGTGGCCTCAGTGACCGCTTCGCTCACTTGGCGGCCTTGATCTAGTGGCAGCGGTCATTCCCGACGTTCATTGAGGTGTGCTCCGACCTCCGCCTCGCTGAGATCACCATGAAGGCCAAGCAAGGGTCTCCGGCACAGGCCCTTGCTGCCTCTGCTCCTCATGCCCCACCACCAACATTCTGCAACCCCGTCGTCGGCAGCAACTCTGGCAAAAAGCCAACACGTCGCTGTGGTGGCGGCGGCAAGAAGTCTGGTGCTGCTGGCGCTGGTCCAGCCATCCCAGGCGTTCCGTGGGCTGCCCACACGCAGCGGTGAAACGTCCTAAATCGCTAGAGGGGGTGAATAGCCTAATAAAAAAATTCTACAAAATGACTAGAGCAAAGTGTTAAATAAGAAGATGGCGATAAAGTGATTTTGCTCTAGCTCTACAAAGCGCTATGCAAGCCACCTACCCAATACTAGTTGCTATAATCTCTACATAGTATGTCACATATATAATCGAGCCACCTATGTAACTACACCTACAATTAGTGAGCTAGCAAGAACTAGTTACAGCAAACTAACTACGCTAAGCTACAACTAGCTACCAACTAGTTACACAAGGCAAACTACCACAAGACAAGTATATGTAATACAAGTGAGAGGGTGATATACCGAGCTAGGCAAGTGTCCAATAAGAATACCAAGAGACAACTGAAACAAGATTTATTCCCAAGGTTCAATTGCTTGCTGGCAACCTACCTCCTCATTGTGGCGATACACTTACTTGGTGGCTCACATGCCTAGCCCAACACTTGGGTACCGTAAGAACCAACACAAGATGAGGATCCACAAGCCACAAGAAATCCACTAGAGCTATAGCTGCAGCCCGCCACCCCTTGCTGTCACACCATCCTAGATGCATGTTGTGCAGCTGGGGTGATGTCGTAGTGACACTGCGGCACTGCCCAGCGCCCACTGTGGTCGGTTATGGAGGAGGAGGTGGAGGCTAGTGGCAGCGAGAGCAGGTGAGCAACGTTGGTGCTTAGTGCGAGCATGGCAATGAGCGAGCTTGAAGCTGAGGGAGTCGGCGTTGGCCAAGGCCAAGGTATGTCTCAGCATAGTTGAGCATTGTTTTCTGATATATTATCACATATTGTTGACACCTAAAATTGTCCAAAGTGTATAATGGACTTCATCATCATGATTCTGTCCTCAAAACGGACAGAGAACATACTTACATCATCGCATTTGGCACTTGGACAAAGAAAATGACTTTTCGGGTGTTGAACCAGCCAGAGTCGGCTTAGCCGACTCCCTAAGTTGGCTAAACCAACTTGACCAACTTCGTCAAATGCAAGATGGACTTCACCATTGCGTTCCTCTCGTCGAGCTGATTGGAAAATATATATGGATTACCTCGTTTGGGGTCCGAATAAATTAATTATTAATTTCAGAAGCTTTTCACCCGGAATTTCCAGCAGCCAGTCGGCTTAGCCGAGTCCACCAGTCTGCTAAGCCAACTAACTGCCCATGTTTTCAGCCCAGAAATAGTGTCCTGGGCCTGTGGAAGTCGGCTAAGCCGACCTGGGAGTCGGCTAAGCCAACTTATCCGTTGTTTCCGAGCCAGTTTGACCTCCAAGTCAGGAGCTAGTTTGACCTCCAAGTCGGGAGCCGGTTTGACCTCCAAGTCGTGATTGGACTAATTTTGGACGTGGGAAACTTGGAGATTATGATTTGGACTTATTTCCTACTGTGATAAGACCACCCCTCTATATATACGAGAGGATCATGGTCGATTGAGTTCCCAACTATCCAATCGACACAAAACCAATCTACAAACTCCTTTTTACCCACTTTTCCAACCTCATGTTGTTCATCCCTTGATCCGACGACCAAGGATGGTGCCCTAGGCTTACCGGTCGACATAGGGCAACCCGACAATGTCCTTGCCCTAACGGGGTCTCTCCTGTACGAGAGCTTCGACGGTTTCTTTGCTAGTTTGCCTAAAAACTAGCTGGTTCTTCGTCACACAACCATGTTGGTTAAACTTTGGTTGTTTGCTTGAAAACCTCTCCATTCTTCACCACGAAAGAATGACATATCCTCGCTGCGTTCTTCGGTCCGTGGTGGTCCGGGCGTCCAAGGCCCTGCTGGTGTGTGATTCGGACCACTTCCGACGTCAATACACTTTTTGGCGACTCCACTGAGGAAGAATTTGCTTTGGCTCTACTTTATAGCCGAATCTTCTTACCCTAGCCCTACTCCTCACTGATTTATCTTCTTGAGCTTGCCATTACTGTTGCATCTTGCCCAAAGGGTCGATCGCATCTGGTTTTGACCCCTTATGATTTTGCTTGAGATTTTGCAACGTGTTGCTCTTGCTAATGGAAAATTCATCAAGGCGGTCAAGTTCTAAATCATGGAGTACCAGGGTGTTGCATCATAAAACTACTACAATTACCTCAAGGAACAGCTTGTAAATACATCTTATGATCCCAATAATTATTTTGCAAGATCTATGAACTCTCATGTTGATGTTGCTAGTCATAATCATACTAGATATGTTGCATCGACTAAAACTGTTGATAATGCTCCTCATCGTCATACGCATCAAAATTATGGATATCATGGTCAAGAGCTGATGCATGCTGTAAGTTCTTCGAATTTCGATGCTACTAGCAACATACAACATGTAAATCGTTATTCATCGGCTATAAGTTCACAATATGTGGTTTCACCACAAGACATGTCGACAAAAGAGCGAATTGGCCATAACAATGCTAATTATTTAGCCAATTGCTCTCAAAATTCAGCACCATATGCCAATGCTCATATTGATAATTTTGCTTCATATGTTACTCCCAACTCGAGACGAATTAATGAAAATTCAGCAAGGTATTTATGTGTTAATACACATGATTCGGCTTCACGTGTTACTAGTAACCATAGTCGAATCAATGAAAATTCAGCACCTTATGCAAAGATCAATGCCCACAATTCGGCATCATATTTTGCTCATGACCATAGCCGAATTAGTGAAATTTCATCAGGGCATTCGGGTGCAAAAACTCGTGATTCGGCTCCACATGGTGCTAATAATTTAGCCGAATCAATAAAAATTCAGCAATGTGTGTACGTGTTAACAGTCTTGATTCGGCTTCATATGTTGCTCTCAAATCAAGCCGATTTGATGAAGATTTATCCCACGCTAAAAATTCATATGGCTCCTCTAAATGGAAGGTGCCCACTTATCATAGACCGTACCCATTATGTATTGATTACTTGGAAGCTCATGATGGTTGGTGGGTGTTGGTGTTTTGAGTTACCACCAACGAGTAAATTTCTAATATTGTGCGTCTGGCTTGGATGGTGTGCTAAGAGGACATAAGGTTTATACTAGTTCGGGCAGAATGTCCCTACGTCCAGTTTGTTGCTGTTGCTCGTGTTACTAGCACCAAAAGTTTATAGTAGGGGTTACAAACGGACGAGAGAGGGACAGGTCCCAAGTCTCTAGTAGAAAGAGTGAACGGGTGCCGAGAGTTCGGTTGCTGCTCAGCCATGTGCTTGTGTTGTGTTCTGGTCAGTTCGAGGTTCGATGGGTTCATGGTGGTTCGATTGGGTCTCGCCTCAATTAATCGATGCGATGCATCGATCCATCGATCCCCTTCATGGGGCACCTTGCTTTCCCTTTTATAGGCCAAGGGAAAGCACGGGTTATAGTGGAGGAAAAGGAGAAGAACGAGAGAGAGAGCCAAAGGCCTTTAGGATCGCCAGGTCCTTCTTATCCTTCATGTGGGTCCTGCCAACCCTGTAGATGTCAACAGGGACGGCTCCACATCGTGGACCTGTCCGTCACTAGCGTCATGCGTAGGCGTCGTCTGCAGGTCATGGTGCTCCACTCCGTCATGGCAAACGTCGTGGTGAACTGACGCACCTGTCAGTGTCCATATGAGGGTTTGGTAGAACAACACCGGTATGCCCGACGCTGTTCCTGATGTTAATCCTCGGGTATGGCCCGTCGTGACCGCAGGTTACATCAAGGCATGTCAGTCGTCTCCCTGATGTCAGAGCTTTGACCCAGGCCCATACACTTGGACCTAGAGTGGTTGGTGGTGTGTGGGGGATATACCCCCGGGTACCACAAGATGGTACATGGGCCGCACCATCAGAGGTGGCCTGGCCCGTAAGATCAAGGTTTGCACATCAAGATTACAAGTTGCGCTAGATATTGTAATAGTACCAAATTGGATACTTTACTTGTAACCTTGTCTCTTCGGAGTATATAAGGAGAGACAAGGGTCCCCTAGAGGACAGGTTAATCTGTATACATCTCAATACAATACACCAAAGACACAGGACGTAGGGTATTACGTCGACCAGACGGCCCGAACCTGTCTAAATCGCTGTCTCTGCGCCTTGTGTCACCATCTGGTTCCTGATTACACGCACTGTCTACCGA